TTTTTCAGAATTTCCCTTTATCAAGTTGAAAACGTTTACTTCTATTCTTAATTTGTTGAGAATTTTCATCGTGAAGTAATTTAAATTTTTTTCAAATGCTTTTTCTGCATGTATTAAGCTGATTATTTGAATTTTAGCTTTTTATTCTTTTAATGTGGTCCATTACATTGATTGATTTTTGAATGCTGAATCAACCTTTCATTACTGGGATAAACCCCATTTGGTCATAGTACATGATTCTTTTCACATATTGCTGGTTTCAGTTTGCTAAAATTTTGTCAAGAATTTTTGCATTGATGTTCATGAGAGATATTGGTCTGTGATGTTTTCCTTGAACTGTTTTTGTTAGATTTTGGTATAAAGGTTTATTTTTTAAAATAAAAATTTAGAGCTTGGTCAGTCCTTGCAGCTGATCAACCTGAGTAAACCCCTCCCATTGACATGCCAACAGCAATCAAGACTCAATTACAAGAGAAGGGTGTACAGTCCACACTAGGGGTGCACCTCGAGGGCCCAGCTGGGGTGATCAGGGAGACTGAGACTGTGCCACTGAATCCTACAGAGTACCTCCAATAGTAGGCCACCCTATGAAGCCTAGTAGGCATAGCAACTCTGCCTAATACATAGAAACCATCACAGGGAAGCAGCCAAATGAGGAGACAAAGAAACATGTCCCAAATGAAAGAAAAGGAGAAAACTCCAGGAAAAGAACTAAACAAAATGGAAATAAGCAATCTAACAGATGCAGAGTTCAGAACAAAGGTTATAAGGTTGCTCAGGGAACTTGGAGAGACATCCAAGGGACTTAGTGAGACCTTCAAGGAACTTAAGGAGACCTCTGAGGAACTTAGTGAGAACATCAACAACATAAAAAAGGACTAGTCAGAAATTAAGGATGCACTAACTGAAATAAAGAATAATTTACAGGGAATCAATAGTAGAGTAGGTAAAGCCAAGAAGCAAACCATCGATTTGGAATATAAGGAAGCAAAAAACACCCAATTAGAACAACAAAAAGAAAAAAAAATCTAAAATAATGAGGATAGTGTAAGGAGCCTCTGGGACAATTTCAAGTGTGCCAACATTTACATCATAGGGGTACCTGAAGGAGAAAAGAGAGCAAGAAATTGAAAAACTATTTGAAACAATAAATACAGAAAACTTCCTTAACTTGGTGAAGCAAACAGACATACAAGTCCAGGAAGCACAGAGAGTCCCAAACAAGTTAAACCCAAAGAGGTCCAGACCAAGACACATCATCATCAAAATGCCAAAGGTTAAATACAAAGAGAGAATCTTAAAAGCAGCAAGAGAAAAGCAGTCCATTACCTACAAAGGAGCTCCCATAAGACTGTCAGCTGATTTCTCAAAAGAAACTTTGCAGGCCAGAAAGGAGTGACAAGAAATATTCAAGGTGATGAAAAGCAATGACCTACAACCAAGATTACTTTAACCTGCAAAGCTATCATTTAGAATCGATGGACATATCAAGAGCTTCCCAGACAAGAAAAAGCTAAAGGAGTTCATCACCACCAAACCAATATTATATGAAATGTTGAAGGGTCTTCTTGAAGGCGAAGAAGAACAAAAATATGAACAATAAAATGGTAAATAATACATATCTATCAACAATTGAATCCACACACACACACAAAAGAGCAAGCAGAACAGAAACAGAGACAGATACAGAAAACTTTTTGTTGCTCGCCAGATGGGTAGGGGTTGAGGGGATGGGTGAAAAAGACGAAGGAATTAAGAAGTACAAATTGGCTGTTAGACTGATGAACCTCAAATGGAAAGGGGGAGGGAGGGTGGGATGAGATAAACCAAAGAACTTCTATGCATATATGCATAACCAATGGACACTGACGGTGTAGGGAAGGCAGGAGGAGGAGGGAGTGGGGAGGTGGGGGTCAATGGGGAAAAAAGGGAGAAACACCTGTAATACATTCAACAATAAAGATGAGTTTTTAAAAAAAGGAAAAAAAAATTAGAGCTGGGTGCAATTGGTGAAGGGATTAAGCAAAGAAGAAAAAGAAAGACTCATGGACACAGACAACAGTATGGTGATTGACAGAGGGAAGGGGGATGGAGGGAGGTAGAAGAGAGTCAAGGGAATAAATGGTGATGGAAGGAGACTTGACTTGGGTTGGTAAACACACAGTACAATATACAGATGATGTATTGTAGGATTGTAGAATTCTACAATATATAATTTCATTAACCGATATCACCCCAATAAATTCAATAAAAAGTAAAATGTAAATTTAATTTCAATCAAACATATACATAATTTTTAAAAAATCAAATAGTGTTAGAAGGTATATGTAGCAATTAGAATTCGTTTCAACTACAAATAACAGAAAAACTCAAAATATTTGTCTTGAAACAAGACATGTATATTGATTGATGAGAGAGAGAGAGAGAGAGAGAGAGAGAGAGAGAGAGAGCTGATTCTTGTATGTGCCCTGACCAGGAATCTAACCCGAAACCTTGTGGTATGGGGACAAAGCTCTAACCAGCTGAGATGCCCAGCCAGCCAGGCCCTTTTTTCCCCCATGTTAAAGCAGTCTAAGGGGAAGGGAGTCAAGCTAGCATGGCCACTCCATTGTGTCATCAGAGGCCCAGGCTTATCTTCTTTTTCTGCTTATCCTTAAGGTCACTTCATGCTGCTGGTCCCTGTTCGGAGCCATCAGCAAGAGGAAAGGGAAGAACAAAGGTGTCTTGCCTCTCACGTTTACAGGTCCCTTCCCGAAGTCCCACACGACACTTCTAATTATGTTTCTGTGGCCATCATTTTATTATATGGCCACATTCGGTTGCAGGGAGGGCTGGGAGGTATAATTTTTTAATGAGGTACATCATCCCCCCAGGATTTACTAAAGAAGAAGGGGAGAATGGATACAAGCACGATGAGCAAAAATGGCCAGGCTGTAAAGAGAGTACATGCTGTATGATTCAATTTATATGAAACTCTAGAAAAGCCAAATCTAATTTATAGTGATAGGAAACACATTACTGATCGATCTCGGGCCAGCAGTGGGATGGGGCACGGGGAAATTCTGGGGGATAACAGAAATGTTCTGGGGTGATGGCTACAGAGGTGTATAAATTTGTCAAAATTCATTCAAAGGGACACTTAGAACGGATACATTTTGTATACACTCTACCTCAGTAAAGTTAATTTATATAAATATGGAAAATCCCAGCACTATAGCAAAACTACTCTGAAATTTTGTTCTTTTCCATCAGCTCCGTTTATTCGCTTATCTTTACATGATTGAAATCAGAATGCACATAATGACTTTGGATTTTGCTTTTTATGCTTAAGATTACATCATAAGATTTTCCATGTTGCTACACTAATTTTCATAATCACCATGGTAAATGGCTCTATAATGCTTTGGGAATTAAAAATGTAATATATACTGATAGTAAAAAGAATTCAGAAATACCAAACAATACACAGTAAAAGCTGTCTCCACCCTCCCCCCCCAACTCTGACCTTCAAGTTGCGTTATTAGAAGCAGTGGACAGTCCAGGTTCTAGTATGTACATCCAGAAATATTCTGTGCACATAAAGATCTATATATGAGAACATCATTCCCTCTCCTTTTAGACATAAGTAAGTAAGATGATATTAGTTAGAGACTTTTTCACGTATTACATCTCGGATACCATCTCAAGTTCACACATTGAGACAGAACTTACTCTTTTTAACCACTGTTTATGCATGAATGAACTATCATTTACTGAACCAATATTGATAAACACTTAGGATTTTCCCAATATATATTTTTTTCTATGACACATACCAAAAGATGTAATATTGAAATTTTGACTCAGCTATGAAGTTTCAGGAGATGCTACATTTCAAAGAAAGTGCTAGAGCATATACAAAATATACTCCAGAATTAGCTGAAGGCTGGTGACATGGCTATTGAAACCCCTCAGCTACACTCAGGATATAAAAGGGTGGAGAGAGAAGAAATTGTGAAGGGATTCGTGAAGGCTTCCTCCGTGCCCTAAAGCCGGGAAGAGGAGGTCAGCAGGTAACTCAGACCACCCAGTACATGTCCCTGCAGTCTGGGGGGCGCCAGACTGGTGTGACTTCCGCCTGGGAAAGGCCGAGGAGGGGAGAAACACCAGAGCGCAGCTTTTTCTGCCTTAAGGAAGTGAAGCCCAGTGGCTGCTGCCTGTGCTCATCCTGTGGGCTCAGGCTTTGTCTAGAGAAGGTTACAAACGTTTTCCTCTGCAGCAGTGGGTGTGGCTTGTCTGAAATCAACGCCAGCCCCTGTCCCCCTGCCTTCCTCTGGTCTATCAGCTGGAGGCTCGGCAGGCCAGCTCTCACTGCCTTGTCCTGGGGCACAGCCTGAATCTCTCCTAATCTCAGCACAAGTCCGGAGCAGACAGGCCAGGACCTCGGAACTGGGCCCAGGTCCATCTCTCAGCCTGTTTTCTGGCCTCTGACCCTTCCTCAGCCTCCTGTGGGCTGGGCTGAAGTAGGACGCGTGGACCACTGTGGTGGTCGGTCCTTCCCTTCTTGGTCCCTTGCTACCTCCTGCATGGAGGCAGGTGCTTCCCCTTACAGGGTCCAAACCCGCACCCGTGCCCCCCACAGCGCTCTGCAAGGGTCTGCTCTCCAGGCTTCGTCTCCCTCGCTGCTCCTCTTGACCTGGAGGCCGGCTGCCAAGGCCATGACACGCTCGCCCCTCTGTGATCTGTTCCCGCAGGGCTCGGCATGCTTTCTCTCTGCTCCCTCCGCCCTCGCAAGACCCAGGGCTGGCCGCCCCCTGGACGAGGCCCATGCTCGGAGAGGACTCGTCTCTGTTAGCATCACGGGGAGCCAAGCAAAACTCGGCAAGGAAGGTCTCTGCCCATGAAGATAACGCCCGACGTGGCGCTTCTCGAACTCTCCCGTGCACCTGGGATTCTGCAGATCCTGACCCAGGAGATCGGGGCCAAGAGCCTGCGTTTCTCAGGAGCCACCCCCCCACCCCCCCACCCCCCGTGACGCCTGCGCTGCCGCTCCGGGGGCCAGGTTTCCAGCGGCAAGGTCTTAGTACATTTTGGAGCCAAAGTGATTTTTAAAAAGTTATTCCTTGGGGTCATCTCATCAACTCAGAAAAATTGAGGCAGAGAGGGCAGTCTGGATTTTTTAAAGGAAATGATTTAAGGATTGTGAAGCACAGGGGCTTTTATTTCTTTCCAGGATGTGAATTATCACTGCGTAGAGTAACGGGGTTAAAAAGGAGAGCCCCCCGGATCTGCTCCAAGCCACAGAACCAAGCAGGAGTTGAGACTCACAGGTCTGTTTCCCTGCTGGGCACGAGGGCCGCAAAATAGCTGGAAAATGCTCGGTTTTCTCTCATACATTAGGGTGCTACAACTCATCTTACCCCGTTTTCTTGACAAGGGCCATCATTTGTTTTGTTTTCTTTTCTCCCTAGTCCTCATTTCGTGTGTTTTCATATACGCATTGACTAAATGAACAGATAATCAAATTTGTTTGCTTAGGAATTCGTTTCCTCCCAGATCTACAAAAGCAAACTTTGTTCGCACCACTACCTTGCCACAAAGTCTGTGTCCTGCCCAGATTAATGACCTTTCCCCAAGCTTTAAGCCAGGCCCAGCATCAGTTTCCTTCTCCTTGTGGCCCTGCAGCCGCGGATTACTCGGGGTTGGGTGGTTGTTTTCCTGAGCAAAGCTGAGCAATCATTTTTTTGTTGTTGTTTCTGGTTGCCCTGCAATGACAGCTGGTAACAGCTCCTTTGTTATCATGCCTCTCCCAGCCTGTGTTGGGTGGCGGTGGGGCGGTGTGCCCGAGCCCTGGCAGGGAAGTTAAGAGGTTGCTCTTAGAGGCTGCCCGGTACATTACTGCCTAGTTTCTCTCAGTCACCACAGCAAGGGTGAGCTTGGAGGGGCAGGGGTTCTAGTGGGTGTGAGTGGATACAAATGGCTCTGGAACCTCATTTGCATGAGGCTGGGTCAGGGACACCAGTGGGCAGGTATTTTTCTGGGGTGTTTAGGTGAGAAGCTGTTTGGGGCTGTTTCCTCGTTTCTGCGTTTCTCCTGCTAATGCTGCGACAGCCATAAGTTGGAGCCTCTAACGGGGGTAGGGCCACGAAGAACTTCATATGGGACCCTTGGTGTGGGAGAGGGAATGACATAAAGAGAACTAATAAACACAACAACCCTGGCTTTTGAGGAACTTCTGAAGCACAGAAAGATCCTGAGAACATTCAAGAAGGAAGTTGTGCGCAAATGGATTTAGGGGGCACAAGGGCACAAGGGTGGTGACCGTGTAGGGAGCAGAGGTGCTGCGGCCTGGGGTAACAGAGGAGAATTAGCTGTGTCCTCTAGGGGGTGACTTATCTCAGTTTCGATTCCCCCTAGAACAGCATCTGGCTCTAAATGGCATTCCTCACAGTAATCATTGCTGTCAATAAGGTAAAACTATGGACCAACCAAGATGCTGGTTTGCATATTCCTACTTACTGAATTTCTCACCGTGAGGAAGGCCTGCCTGGAGCTCTCTGATGCCCAGTGGCCGCCTGCAGCCACCAAACAAGACAGACCAGAATGAGGCTGTAGGGTCTCCTTGAAAGGACAGCAGCACTAACTTTCTGTCCCCAGCCAGCTGGTGGCAATGTGTTGGCAGACTGAAAGGCTGCATGGTGAGTAGTTAAAAGCACAGAGCCAAACGGGGTTCAAATCTCAGCATTGTCAGCAGTTGTATGACCTTGAGCAAGTTATTTAACCTTCCTGGGCCTCCATTTCTTGATCAGTCAAATGGGGATAATAATAGTACCTACCTCATAGGGTTGTGAGACTCACTGGAGTTACCATGTAGAAAGTGCTTAGAATAGTGTCTGACACAGAGTAACATGAGGTAAATGCTAGCCATTCTTACTTAGAAGAGATTCTTGGGTGTGAAGTTCTGGGTTTTGTCACTCTGATAATTTTTTTTTTTTCGCCCAAGGACATTTTTGCATTTATCTTCAGATAGAGTGGGAGGGGAGAGAGGGGGGAAGAGAGAGAGAGAGAAACATCGAAGTGAGAGAAACACATCGACTGGTTGCCACTCATACAACCCCAACCAGGGCCAGGGACAAACTGCAACCGAGGAACGTACCCCTAGTGGGAACCGAACCTGAGATTCTCTGTTCCGTGGACCAATGCTCTAACGGCTGAGCCAAACTGGCCAGGGCTGTCTCTGATAATTTTTGAGGAGTGGCTGATATGTATAGAGTAGTGTGTGTGTGTGTGTGTGTGTGTGTGTGTGTGTGTGTTTGGGGGGAGGGACTGTGGCCAGAGGACTGAGGACAGCCAGGTGGCCAGGCAGAGTCTTCCTCTCACCCTGGTCTGGGGGTCTCTAGGGAAGAGGAGAATAAGGATTGTGGCCAGGAGGGAGGAGGACATGCCTGTCCAAGGTCAAATAATCCCTCTAAAGAACTCTCACTAATTTTCTAGAAGCATCCATGGGGAGCTCGGGGCCCTGCTCAGGATGTTATCTCTTCCTACACGTGGAGAATGGCTGTGCCTCTGTGACCCTCCTGGGGATCATGCCTGCCCGTTGCAGCCTGTGCTACCCAGCCCACTGGCCAGCCCCTCAGCATGGGCATTAGTGCCTACACCTTACCATGGTAACATCTGTTTTCCTACCACTGTTTCTCCTTTCCATTTCCTTCTTTACCTAAAAAAATCCTGCTGCGTCATATTTACTTTTGTAAGTCACCTTAGGTTGTTCTGAGAATATGCAGAGAATAGATAAATAAACTAGTTCCTGGAGTTCTTATTAACCTTTCTTGAAGTATTTATAGCAGTGATTTTCAAATATATTTTTTCAAAGAAATCCCTTATTTTATTTTATTTATTGATTCTAGAAAGAGAGGAAGGGAGAGGGAGAGAGAGATAGAAACATCAATGAGAAAGAACATCGATTGGTCACCTCCTGCATGCCCCCTACTGGGGATGAGGCCCACAACCTGGGCATGTGCCCTGACCAGGAATCGAACTGATGACCTCTTGGTGCATGGGTCAGTGCTCAACCACTGAGCCACATTGGCTGGGCAGGAAGGAATCCCTTTTCTAAAATGAAATATTTCAGGCGTGGCTGGGTTGCTTCATTGGTTGGAACGTCATCCTGATGTACCAAGGTTGAGGGTTCAATCCTTAGTCAGGGCACATATAAGAGGAACAACAAATTGATCTCTCTCTCTCTCTCTGTACCGCAGGCCGACGCTCCAACCACTGAGCCAAACCGGCCAGGGCGATCTCTCTCTTTCTAAAAACCAATCAATAACATTTTTTTTTTAATAATAAAAATAAATATTTCATAGAAGCCCTACATCTGTATATTATATATATCAGGGTAAAGCAGGAAAAAGAATCCCAAGCCTCCAGCCCCTGGCCACCCCCTTATCTCCTAAGACAACCTTACCAGGCCCTAGCTCTGAGGAGCTGTTTGTAAACAACCTGACCGCTCCATGAAAACCATACTGCAAAACTTGGTATGTCATTTTGATGCAAAAATAAGGAAGTGAGATGATTTTTTATGACCTTTTGGACAATTTACTAATTACTGGTGAACACTAACAGCTAAAGAATGAAGATTAGTTAATAGCTACAGAGAACTATGAACAAAAACAAAAGTAGTGTTTTCCCTTCTATTATATAAGATAATCATTGTGAGGTTAAGTAACAACTAGGCCTTAAGCCCTACTGATGGAATTCAATAGTTAAATGTGGGTTCTTTTGTTTGTTTGTTGTTTTTTTATCTTCAGATGAGGACTTTTTTTCCACTTTTGTTCAGTTAAAGTGAGAGGGAGAGAGAGAGAAACATCCATGTGAAAGGGACACATCAAGTGGCTGCCTCCCGCACGACCTCAACCTCGGGACTAATTGCAACCGAGGTACTTGCCCTTGACTGGAATTGAACCCATGACTCATTGGTCTGTGGGCCGACACTCTAACCACTGAGCCAAACTGGCCAGGGCTAAATGAGGGTTCTTGATATGAAATGTATTTTTAAAAATGCAAAAGTAAGTTTGGAACTGAGTTGCACTGATGATCACAACCTCTGTGGGCAAAACAGCTTCCTCAGTTTTGCCCACACCAGTGAATTCTTCATTCCTCAAAATTCCTCCACTTTCCATCCCTCTCCTTCCATGTTTCACCCCCTCTCTCCTCAAATCCCAGATCCTTCATGAAGCCGCTTGTGATCTACCTATTCCAAAGTCTGTAGCACTTGGTCACACACAGGTTGCTCTATATCAGGATGTAGGCCTGGCTCCTGCAGCAAGAGGGTAACGTGCTATCTGGGTTGCTGTGCATCAGTGGTCAGCCTGCACCAGGGCACGGGGCACCTGCTAACTGCTAAACTCTAATGCTGCCTGGTACCTAACACAGTGCCTGCATCTAAAACAGATTAAAACTCATATGCCGATGGACGTATGAAGATAAATAGGTTAATCTGATATATTAAAACGTTTTCTTTAGACCTAAAAATTCTTTTTTTTCCCTCCTGATTTAAAAATAATGACAACATCTGTGAAGTCCTCAAAAGCATGCGGGGCCCGTGGCACTATGCAGGTACACAAGGCCTACAGCCTACCAGCCACGTGGACCCAGGCATTTCACATAGCTGTTCTGGGTTTAGCTTTCTCATTTGTTAAATGGGAGTAATGATAGGGCCTGATTTACAAGATTAAATGTTGGTTAACATTTGTTTTGTATTTTTCAGCAAAAAATAGGGCAACGCAAAGGATACAAATCTTAACTTCTTCTTGTGCGCTAATCCAACCTCAAATCTAGGTTTTCATTTTATTCTTGGTAAAACAGACTTCCTATTTCAAAGAAAAAGCACGACAAAAACAACAACAACAAAAAAAAACAAAACCAAGCCAAAAGCTCTTTCCAAGGCATCTAAGGATTCTGGCCAAACCCCAACTTGATGAGTTCACAGTAAATGAATCACAGACCCATGGTTTAGAGTCTCTCAAGAGTCCTGAGACGGCGAGGGCTTCACGGAGCAGCTGGCTACTCTGCCAGCTGAGTGGAGATCAGGATGTCCCAGAGCCCCTCGGACACCTCCTTTCCCTGGGCTTCACTCGCATGGCTCATGCGACTGTGTCCTCACCCACAGAGTAGATGCCATCAGGCGGGCCTGACTAGCAACCAGATAGTAACCAGGGCACCCAAAACCCAAGACTTGGTTGTTGTTTAATCGTTAACCTCCATTCCATTCATTCCTGGCTGCGTTCACGGAGGATTTCTAAGAAAGATTTTGGGGTGGAGGTGCTCTCTGCAGATGGTGTTTTCCAGGAAGCTCGGCTGGCTTCCTGAGAGATGTCACACACTGGAACGTTTGTTTTCCAGTGGCTGGCAGGGGAACTCTGGAATGACTCAAGTGAGGAGCTGAATCAGAGAGGGTGGGTTATGTCCTAAAACCACACCCTCCACTGACTTGGTCAAACCGTATCCGTTTTAATTACAGCTTCAGACCCTCCACCTCCCAAACCAGGAAGCCTTCCTCGATAAACCAGAAGCCCTTTCCACCCCAAGTCACCCTGATACCTCTGACACCCTCATTTGCATATGTGGTTAGCTTTTTATTGACATTCGAGTGATATGTGAACAGCTTCCACAGGGCCCTCTGATGGACTGAAATGATTGGATTGCAGCTTCTTTAAAGATCTGCTTGAGACGCAACCTGGTTGAGCCCCCAGAGCCAATTCTCCAGACAGTCAGTCAACACCCGTGGACTGTGCACCACCAGCAAGGCCTTTTGCCAGATACTGGTCAGTGTGAATCAGAGAGGTGTTGAGAGAAGATCTGACTCTTGGCGATGGAGAAGTCAGGAAAGACATAAATAGAAATTCCGAGGAACTCCAGACACAAACATCCACAAACTGACCTACTAACCTGTGTGACCACGCACAGTAGAGGCAAGAGCTCCATGCTGTCTTCATCTGGCCAAGACCTCGAAGCCAAGGTTGTGGAGCCAGGCTCTTCCCCTCTGCCCAAGCAGGCCTGTATGTGGAGCACACATTCTCTCCGATCCTGAGTGGAAACAAAACAACCTGTTCTAGACACCCCCCCAGCCCCTGGGAGCAAAAGGGGTTCCCCGGCCTAGAGGAGAATACAGTAATCCTCTTTTATCCAGTTTCACTTTCCAAGGTTTCAGTTTTCTGTAGTCAACAACGATTCCAAAATATTACATGGAAAATCCCAGAAATAAACAATTAGTAAGTTTAACTTGCATGTTATTCTGAGTAGCATGATGCAATCTCGCTGTTGTCTTGCTCCCACGTACCTGGGACCTGAATCATCCCTTTGTCCAGCGTCTTCACCCTCCATCCCCTCCCGCCCATTAGCCACTTAGCAGCCCTCTTGGCTATTAGATACCTGCGGCTGTGTGGCAGTGCTTGTGTTCAAGGAACCCTTATTTTACTTAGCAGTGGTTCCAAAGCACAAGAGTAGTGATGCCGCCCTGGCCAGTTTGGCTCAGTGGTTGGAGCATCGGCGGGCAGACCTGAGTCCCAGGTTCGGTTCCCGCTAAGGGCACGTACCTCGGTTTCACTTTGTCCCCATCCGGGGTTGGGGTCGTGTGAGTGGCAACCAATCAATGTGTCTCTCTCACATCGATGTTTCTCTCTCTCTCTTCTTCCCTCTCTCCCTCCCGCCCTATCTGAAGATAAATGCAAAAATGTCCTGGGGTGAGGATTAAAAAAAAAAGAGTGGTGATGCGGGCAATTCAGAAACGCCAGAAAAAGCCGTAAAGTGCTTCCTTGACGTGAAAAGGTGAGTGAACAGTTTAATTCGATATTTGAGAGACCACATTCACATAATTTTATTACAGTATATTGTTAGTATAACTGTTCTATTTTATTATTGGTTATTGTTGTTAATCTCTTACTGAGCCTAATTTATAAATTCAACCTTATCGTAGGTATGTATATATAGGGAAAACATAGTATATATAGGGTTCGGTGGTTTCAGGGGGGTCTTGGAATGTATCCCCCTCAGATGGGGGGATCACTGTATAAGGCTAAAGCTCTTGTCACTCAATGCCGGGCACCCCCTGCCCCACAGCAGAGAAGGGCAGGGATCACTCTGCATTGCACTAGCAGGTCTACGTGAGAACGCACCACCTGAGAGAAGACTAGAGGGAGGCAGGATTGTACCAGAGGCCCTGGTTTGTGGTGATCACTATGACCCACTCTAATTGCTGTGCATCAGGTGAGGGCCTGTGCTGGCTACTTCTGAGCATAGAAATATATAACCCAGCCCTCTGACCATGGGACATCCTATATGAAATGTCAGCTAAAAATCAAAGCCTGCCTGTATCAAACACCAAACGACTGGTGCACACGGTGTCAGCGGAAAAGAAATAACAATGGTACATTTATTGCCCACTTGCCATGTGTCAAACCCTATTCTAAATGGTTTATACATATTTAACTTTTCCAACCACCCATAAGGTGGGTACTAGCATTATTCTCCTTTTATGGACGAGAAAAGCGAGGCTCGAGAAGATTAGAGATCTTGGTCGGCATCCCACAATGTTTAATGGTAGATCCAAGCATTTGAACTCACAATTCTGCCTCACCAAGAGCGTGTGCACAGACATACCTGCGCTCGGCTTTTTAAAGTGATGGCAGAGACTTTGGGAAAGAGGAGCAACAGCAGGCACAGGCTCTGACTCCTGTTTGTAATTAATTTTGATATAAGAGGGAACTTCCATGGCTGAGTTTTAAAGTAGGAGCATGCCTTATAGCGAAGACATCATATTTGCTGTTTAGTTTTGCAATTCAGTGTTTAAGATCCTCCAATGGTGAGCCTGCAGAAACTAGAATGTGAGAGCAGTGGGCGGGGCCTTGCTGGCCGGGCGGGGGAGGAGCTGAGCCGGGAAAGAGGAAGGGAGGGGCGGGGAGAAGTCTTTCTCCTGCGCGCAGCCAGAAAGTCGCCGCAGTCCCGTCCGCCCGGCCTCGGGCTCCCCCTGATGCGGCCTCCACGCCGGGGCCAGGGGGAAGGAGGAAGGGGCGAGGGATTCCTTTGGGGGTGGGGAGAGAGCGTCTGCAGCAACTTCTTTCCGCACCCTCGGGTCGGATCCTTAGCAGGGCGTCTCTGACTTGATGGGTCCCGTCTGCCAAGCTTCGGTCCTCGGTCCGCGGAGACCGTGTCAGACCCCGAGTCTCCTGAGCCACAGCGCCATCTCGTGGCCGCTGACAGGTCTCTCTTGGGGCCCTTTGGCTCCGCACCTGGCGCCCGCCCCTCCAGCGCCGCCGGTGAGCTCCAGTTGGCTTTCTTCTGCGGCCTGGAGCCCAGGGGGGAAGTGGACCTGAGTGCGGAAGCCAGGACCAGATTTGCCTGGATCTGAGCACTGGCTTCTCAGCACGTAGCATAAAGGAAGGAACGGTCGTCAGAGCCGGATAAGCCAGAACCTTTTGTCTCTGAGCCTCTCTAGACCTCAATTTTCTCATTTGTTAAAGGGCATAATGACGCTGGGTGGAGAATAAATTGCAAAGCCTCTAGAACACCGCCTTCAGCCATGGGAGCTCAGTGCATCACTGATGGTGTCGTCATTCTCGGGCACCGCAACAGATCCCAAAGCCGCCCAAACTCATGCTGGCAGATGGCGGGTGCTCTGGGCACCTTGCAAGCTAGTAGTGATGCCTTCTTAGAGCCAACTCATAGTGGGACAGCCCTAGCACTAAATAGTTGCTTATTTTTATAAAAGACAAGAGTCCAGTTGATCTTGTGAATTATTTAAAAACGGTTGCCTATTCTGTTCATCAGCCCAGGGGGATGTTTCATCTTCTCCAGGTATTCCTGCCTCCCACATATGCTATAGGAAACCCTCCTGGTACAGAACCACCCCACTTCTGAGAGGCATTGTAGTAGTGAGGTGGGAAGATAGTAGTGCATGGCCACATACACCATGGGTTCACTTGCCAGGCGAGGATCTGGGGCAAATTACTAACTTCTCCAAACCCCACGTTTCTCATCTGTAAATCAGAGATATTAATTCCCACTTCCTTGGGCTTTTATGCAACTAAATGAGACATTTATGTAAAGCACTTAATTGAGTGGATTTAGCTGTATCAGCATCAACAGAGAACTTATTAAAAATGCTAGTCACTGGGCCTCACCCAAAGTTTCTAAATCAGTGTGTCTGAGGCTCAAGAATTTGCATTTCTAATTTGCATTTCAGGAGATGTTGCTACAATCTGTCTAGGTACCAAATTTTGAGAAGGACTGATCTAGCACATACTAGACCCTCTGTATTCATTGTCATTCCCCAACCATCCAAATACAAATCAAAAGGAGAATAAGGAGATATGGGGGACTATTAACCCCAATCCAATAAAATAAAAGCTGCAATTGCAGAACAGGCTTATTTAACAAATGTTGATTGAATGTCTTCTCTCCATTGCTCTCGTATGCTTTACTGGGCAGTGCTTCCCTCACATGCACCATCTCATTTATGCTTCTGAAATGTATGATGATGTCCAGGAAGGGACTGTCAGAGAGACCAGGTGACTTGCTCAAGAGCACAGAGCTCTGGAAGGCAGAGCACAGACTCCCGTTGGAGTCGGCTGCCTGTCAGAACTGAGCATGCTTGGGGAGGATGGTGGGCCGATATATAAACCTGCCTAGGCCCTGACCTCCGATGCTTCCATCCTGCCTGAATTCTCTGCCCAAGCACACTCTCCTAACCGGCTCGCTGTGCTTTGGGGTCAAGTGCTGAATGGTGTCTCCTTCCCAGATACATTGGCTCTGCCTGTCATCTTACCCCTGAGACACTTGGTCCTTCCAGAGAGAGGCTTGTGTTTTGTCTCTGGCTGTTTACTATGGGCCCCAAGGCCTCCAGCAAAAAGAGGAAGCCCTTGGGATTTGAGGTAGAACTAGGAGGCCCATTCTTGGCAATCAGACCCTACCCAGGCCCTGTGGGTCTCAGAAGGAGTCCCCCTCCCCCACCCTGGGCATCTGAGAGGCCAGAGAGAGCCAGCCTTAGCAAGGCCTCCTTGAGACCTGGAAGGAGCTGCCACCCTCCCCTCCTCAGCCTGGAGGTGGAGAAGGAGGAGCAATAACTGTGTGGACTCCAGACACCAGGGCTCCTTCCTCCAGGTCCCAAATTCATTTCAGTTCTTATGGTTGGTAGAAGGGACCTGGCCTTTAGAGCAAAAAGACCCGCTAGGAACCAACTCACATAAAAAGAGCTGTGAAGTCTTAAAGAAGTCTCTGAACTTCTTTGCCTGTGTTTGTTTTCTCATCTGCAAAAATGGGCTGAGTAGGTAGGACCCATCTCCCAGAACTGCTGTGTGGCCTGAATGACTTCTCTGTGTTCAAGATGCTGGCACCTAATCAGCGGTTAATAACTCCATTTTTCTTCCTTTGACATTTATCCACCTACGGTGAGCCTGTCCCTGGTAGTGTATAGGCAGTGAGCCACAGTCCACCCCCACCCCCGCCACTTTTAGAAGCTTCCACCCCACACCCTTGCCCAAATAGAACAATAGCAGAAGACCTGAGACTGGATCTGGGTGGGGGAGATGGGTATGAGAGACGATCCTACTGGTCCAAGGGATGGGCACCCAGTGTGTGAACTCTGCAGCAGGGTGAATAAGCCCACCCCATGCCAGCTGGGCTTGAGTCAGAGCCAATGGCCTGCTAATGGTTTTCAGAGCTTTGCCTTGGAGGTGTGCAGAGCTGCCTGACTCACTGGTGCGCCAGCCGGGGAGACTGGAGACTCCTCCATCCAGCAGTCTCTGCTCTTGGCAGCTTTGGTTCATGTTCGTCCGTTTGTTCGTTCGTTCATTCATTCATTCATTCATTCATTCCACAAACATTTGGCAGGAACCCAGGATGTGCTGGGCACTGGGAACACTGGCATTGGTGAAGGAGGCAGACTGAAGTGGGAAGGACTGAAGGTGGGTTACCTCCTACCTGTACCCACCTCTCCTTGCCAGGTCCTGAGTGAGGCTGGGGAAGGGGAGTAGGAACTTTTCTCTGGGTTCCCAATGCTCACCCCCTCTCTCCTGGGGTCACAGGGAAGGCCTGGCGAAGAAACATCTGAAGCTAATTGGTCTGGACATAGCTCCTGCAGGGATGTGGAAGGAGGTGGCATCAAAGATAGTGCCTGGGGGACTAGAAGGGGTTCCACTGACACACTCAGCCATGGAGCTGGCTTGGAGGGGAAGGAGACAATACGATTTCCGTTTAAGTGTTTTCTCCAGTTTCTTTTTTTTTAGGAGATGAAAAGGGAGTTAAGAAGCCCAGAGTAGGAATAAAAGTGAGGATCGAGAGAGAAAAAACACCTTCACAGAAGCACCCAGAATACATATGACCAAATATCTAGGCACCCTGGTGGCCCAGCTAAGTTGACATAGAAAATTTACCATGACTTGGGGTCGAGGCTGGTGGGGGGCGGGGTGAAGCTTCTGAAGAAGTCACAGCCCACTGGCACCTCTGCCAGCTTGCAGTTTCCATGACCCATATTCCACTAGGGTTAGCTCACTGTTTTGCTACTTTGCAGAATATAAAAGTTAACTTCTAGCCTCTCTTCAGGATCTCTTTTGTCCAAGTACAGGGCACGAAACTAACCAAGACCCACAAAAAGCCCTCGTCCATGAGGGGAAGAGGATCTTGCTGTCGGGCCAGTGAGGAGACAGGAGATCCCAGAGACTCAGGGAGCCTGGGAAGTAAAGCCCCGGGCAAAGGGGTGTGTGCGCACCCACGCCCTGACACACAGCTGGGGAGACACTTTGCCCTTCGTCAGGCTCTGCTGTTTCAGGTGTCTCTGGCCACAGCCCTGCCCAACCTCAGCCCCACTCTGCGCTTTTTGCCCCTTTGCCCACGACTCTCAGATGCCAGGATCCAGGCTCTGACCCTGTAGCTGTCCACCAGTGCCCCCGCCTTGGACGCCCTGTCTTCACTGTGTTAGGGAATCTGTCAGGAGGTAAGACTCAGGAGGCCCAGGTTCTCCTGCTGGTTCTGCCTCTGCATCTGCCTCAGATTCTTCTCTTACAAAGAGACTCACAGCGCCCTGGCTCAGCAGTAGAGCATCGGCCCATGGACCAGTGAGTTGCGGGTTCAATTCCTACCAAGGGCATGTATCTCAGTTGTGGTTCGCCCCGGCCCTGGTTGGGGTCATGTGGGAGGTAACCAGTCAATGTGTTCCTTTAACATTGATGTTTCTCTCTCTTTCTCCCTTTTTCTCCCTCTATATCCCTCCCACTCTTCTGAAGATAAATAGAAAAATATCCTCAGGTGAGAATTAAACCAGAAAACAAAGAAACTCAAAGCTAGTTCATCTCCCAGGTCTCTTCTAGTTCCAACAATTAATTATTTTGGAAACAGTCCAGTTCAGTGAATCAATATATCAGAATGTTTCAGCTGCAAATAACAAAATGCTTGGAATAAAGAACGAAATGATAGGGGCTGATTCATCACAGGAAACTGCAGAACAGAGGGAGGTGATTATGCGACTGGTGTGGTGTCTCTGAGAGATGATCAAAGGATCATCAGGTTCTTCCACCTTCTCTTTCTGTCTTCTTCACAACTGCCGCCATCTCCCCTCATGGTGGCAAGATGGCTGCAGTTGCTCCAAGCTTTTCTTCTCATGTAGCAGCTTCTCAAGCAGGAAGAAAGGGGATATGGGTGCAATCAGTGAGGACAGTGTTTCCCAGAAGCTCCTAGCAGTTTTCTCTTGAGTGTCTTTAGCCAGAACTGGGTCATAGGTATAGCATTAAGTCAATCACTGGACAAGGGGCTGGGACTGATCAATTATCCACCCACTTAGGCCAGGTGGATGTATGAACAAGTGAAAACTTGGGATTTTGTTAGTAAGAAAGGGGTAGAGAGGCTTTTGGGTGGGTTACTAATAGCGCCTACACAACCGCTGGTTTGTTAGTGCTTGTCACTGGGCATAGGTTCAGGACTCCAGGTGTGCCAGGAATGTTGGTTGGCATGAGTGTTGGTGGCCAGCTGCTGCTCTGTCAGGAGTGACTGGACATGGGCAGGTACCTACTATTCCTTGGTCACTGCTGTGGGGCCATGTCCATATTATAACACAAGAGGGCTAGAAAATGTCATTTAAGATGTGCCTAAAAAGAAAAAGAAAAACGGATATTAATGAGTAGTAGGAGGTTCTGCTACAACCATTCATCCGCTGTGTGACCTTGGGCAAATGACTTTAACTCTTCTGGCTTTGGTTTCATCATCTGGCAGCGGAAAGAATAGATACCTAGTGGGACTGTTGCAAGACTTAAAAGATATAAAATGCACTTGACACACAGGGTGCCCTTTCCTTCTAACTGTACAAACGAGCACTTTTTTATTCCTCTGGGTAACCTCAAATACTGACTAGCTGAAAGTTGGCCCTCGACAAGTTTTCTATCTGGTTGCAGGGGTGGGGAACGTCTGGGCCTTGGGCCGTACAAGGCCACTGAAATCAATACCAATTATTATGGCTCACCAAATCAGCCTGACCAAATATAGCAGGCTAATTTTTTTTTTTTAATTTTCTTTATTGACTTTAGAGAGAAAGGAAGGGAGAGGGAGATAAACATTGATGAGAGAGAACATCGACTGGCCACCTCCTGCATGCCCCGCCCCTGGGGATTTGTCCCACAACCTGGGCATATGCCCTGGCCAGGAATCCAACCAGCGAACTCTTGATGCATGGATTGATGCTCAACCACTGCGACACACCAGCTGGGCAATAGCAGGCTAATTTTTAAGTTGATAATTTTGTATGGCCCATGGACAATGTTATAAATATCCAAATGGCCCTTGGCAGGAAAAAGGTTCTCTACCCGTGATGAGGGGAACAAGGATCAATACCAAATGCTCCCTATCACGTGGGGGTTCAGTGATGAGGTGGCCCCTGATTCTTGGGGGAGCTTGTCTTAAGGCCTTTTCATGGCATGTGTTAAGGGTTTGCTGGAGTATTATCCTAATAGCCAGGAACAGCTGTTCTCTGGTTGAAAGAAAGAACCAGAGAAAATGACTTCCATGGTAACACCAAGTATTTATGTTCATATAGGTAAAAATGTTCTGATGAATCTTAGTGGACTCTTGGAAATATTTTGGAAAAGTCGTTTCTTCTCTTGAGCTCTTTAAGGTCGGTTTCTGCCTTTTGGAGTTATTCATCACATCTCAGCTTAGGGGCAGAAGAATAGGCTGCTGCTTCTGGGCCCCCCTTCTCTCTCCTGTCCTTTCTTGAAGTGGTCCTTTCTCCCTCCTCCTGGAAATGAGGGGCCTAAGGCTTTGTGCCTGAGTTGACTTACCTGCCAGCTATCCTCTGGAGTCTTCTTTATGTGAACATCCGGACCACCTAGCACCCTTGGCCAGGTTCCAGAAGGTTCCGTTCACTTGACCAAGTATACACAATGAGGGACAAGCAGAAGACGGTCAATACAGGAGATGCAAAGGGAAAGGAGAACAGCGGAGTGTTGCCATGGGAAGTGGGATGTAAGTAAAATGCCCATTTCTAAAAATGTGGGAGCCCGACTGGTGTGCCTCAGTGGTTGAGCGTCGACCCATGCACCAAAAGATCGCTAGTTCAATTCCCAGTCACGGCACATGCCCAGGTTGTGGGCCAAATCCCCAGTAGGGGGCATGCAGGAAGCAGCCAATCAATGTTCTCTCTCATCGATGTTTCTTTTCTTTTTTATCCTCACCTGAGGACATTTTTGCATCTATCTTCAGATAGAGCAGGAGGGAGAGAGGGAGGAAGAGAGAGAGAGAAACATTGATGTGAGAGAGACACATCAATTGGTTGCCACCTGCACAATCCCAACCGGGGCCAGGGACAAACTGCAACCGAGGTATGTGCCCTTAGCAGGAACCGAACCCAGGACTCCCTGGTCCACGGGCCAGTGCTCTAACCGCTGAGCCAAACTGGCCAGGGCTCTCATCGATGTTTCTATCTCTCTCTCCCTCTCCTTTCCTCTCTCTCTAAAATCAATGAAGAAAAATAAAATAAAAATGTGGGATACCCTGGGGGCTCTGCTCTCCAGCATATACACTGTGGAGTGGTTTCAGCAGAGCTCAGAGCTGAACAAGAGCCCAGAGCCAACAGAAGAGAAGGGAGCACGGCTTGGTGGTCGGATGATTGCTCTTCCTCTGACTTTTGCTGAGTCACTTAGAAATGACATGGAACCCGGACCATGCTCCTTCCTCTGAATGACTTCCAGCCACATCTCTCCCCATCCCCCAACTGGAGGCCACTCTATTTTTACATTTCTCTTGGGAAGTAGATTCCAAAATTCCCTAAGTCTTCCCATCAAGAGAACCTCTGATTTCCAGTAAATCCAGGGTCACATATTCTGTATTTATTTGCATCAGTTTGCATAAATTAGCATTCCATAGAAGTCCTAGACTCCGAGTCAGAGGAACCCAGAGAATTCATGCAATCGGGCTCCAGCTTTCCAGCTCCTGGAAGTGGTAGAGGAAGGCTTCAGCCTGAGACAGAGACCGAGAGACAGAGACAGACAGAGAGCAGCCCTTGTAGACTTGTAGACAGGAGGTCCCCTCATCCCCTCGGCCTGCAGAACACATCCTGGGCCCACTGAGAACTCTATCAAGGGATCCTCTGTGTTCTGGGTGCTGAAGCTTTATCCTTACTGTGTTGAAGTCTAAGAGAGGGGATTGGAGTCCTGTAGCATGTGTGGGGGTTAGGTTCAGTGTGACACGAACTGGGTGAGGAGGGATCCTTAGATCTGAGTAGAAGGGTGGAAGGAGGGGGGACAGAGAGTCTCACTGGAGATGACACAGACCATGTGTTGGGGAGCCCTGGGGAAGGAAAAGGAGAGAGAGGGCAGAGGTAAAAAGGAGCAAGAGTGGTTGGGTAAGTACGGCAATTTGATGGGCAAGCATTGCATGGCTAGCTAGAATGGAGAGTGGACTTTTGTTATCTAGGAAGTTAGAGATCAAAGTTAGAGAGTGGGGGGCCAGGCGGTTCCCCAGGGGCCATTACTTTCTTTCCTTGCCACACTGGAGTTTCTTGCCGGAGTCTGGAATGTCATCCCTTGGGTCTTTCCAGGGACTGTCTAAGCCTTAGACTCTAAGATGTCACAGCCTGAAAGTACAGATGACAGATTTTAAAGTGGTTCCAGGTGAGACACAACAGGAGGATGGAACTTCGGGTTGTTTTTCCAGAAGAAGGAACAAGCCACTCTGCCCACACATGCTGCTCATTCCCCCAGGGCCAGGACGCTGCTGAGCCTAAGCGGAAGGCACTGCCTGTGGCAGAGAAGTGGGGGGAAATGGAATGGTCCCCACAGCCAGGGGAGAGAGTGGTACCCGATACTGTGCTCAGAGTTCTAAGCCATGGAGTTTATTGACAGTTGGTTGTAGGGTGGCCACTCGCCAGATATAGGCTCAGATCCCTTCTAAGGCCAGAACTCCATGGAGTCAGCCCAAGGTAGGGGTCAGGTGTGTGGGGTCCAGTGGGATTTAATCCTGGCTCCACCACGGGGGCCTTGGGTAAGTTACTTGAACTTGTCTGTACCTTGGTTTCTTCATCTGTAAAATGGGAATAATAATGCCTACTTCACAGAGTTGTAGAGAAAGAACTAAACACAATAGTCCCTCTAGCGTTCCTAGAATAGTGGCTGCCAGAGAGGAAGCACTCAGTAGATACCACTGTCATTACACACAGAGGTCCCAAATAATATGCAACGAGAAGATTGGAGAACTTGGAGAGAAGCATGGGATGGGCTCCTATTTCGTGGTTCTGTGCCCAGTGTGGCAGCTGCTCTTACCATTTCCACTCAAGTTGATGCAGCCACAGCGATAGGCTGTGTGGATGAGAGCCAGGCATGAGCTCCGGCCAACCACAGGCTGGGAAATGACACTATTAGCTGATGATGTCTCCCCCCACTCCCCCATCCCCATGCCCTCCAGGAGGGGAGTATGGAGGAAAAGAAATGGCTCCTTTCTTTGTTTGGCAGGAAGGAGCACACAGGCTGGAGGAAGGGACCCCAGCAAGAAGAACGACATAGCCTTGACCAATGTGGCTCAGTTGGTTGGGCATTCTCCCATGCACCAAAAGGTTGCAGGTTCAATTCCCACTCAGGGCACATATCCAGTTTGTGGGCTCAATCCCTGGTAGGGGGGGCGGTGCAGGAGGCAGCCAATCGATGTTTCTCTCTCACATCGATGTTTTTCTCTCACTTTTCCTTTCTCTTTCTCTCTAAAAAAAAAATCAATAAAAATATTTTTTAAAAATGAAGAAGAAAGGCATGGGACCCGCATGACTTGTTTCTACCACGCCCAATAAAGGACCCCTGAGGAGGATCTGTTAGTCTGGGATCTGTGGGCAAGGAGGGACTAAACCTCACTGTGGTGACTCTCCATGTCCTGGGCCTCCCATCAGTTAGAGCTGGCAGAGAGCTGCTGGAAGGCAGAATGTAACACCCTGGTGGCATTGTGCTTAGATGCAGGGGAATGACTGTGGGTGTTCATAACAAACTTTTATGCAACCTCTAATATGTGTAAGACCGAGGGACCCAGAAATAGTAAGTCATGGCTACTCCTCTAACGGAGGTTACAGGCTATACCAATTAAAATAATTATTTCCATCCCTTCTTGTCGATAGAGTCCTCCAAAGATGCTGTTTCTACAGCCTTGGGGACTCACATTGTTGGTCCAAGGTGACTTCCCTGACAGTACATTGATTTGCAGAGCTGAATATCTTGTGACAGAAAGTCTGAGCTGGTGAATTACAAGAGCTTCCGAGAGGCTCCTTAGCAGGCTGTTCTCCACCTTATTACTATTCAGATGCCAGAGCAATGTGCCAACACCCTGTGTTTTCTCCAGCCCCTGCTTTCCCCTCAAGATCCAGCCCCTATACTATGGGATGTCTGGGGGCCAAGCCTGGGATCCCCACGGTGGGCCCTTGCCTCTTCCTGTTTGGAGTTATCAAAGGAAACAGACTTGAACATAACCGAGTTGCTGTCTCTTGGGCCTGGCCATACAGTCGTCTTCTCGCCCTGTGTCACCACTGATTTATCCTCTGCCTGACTTCAGTCATCATGAGCCGAAATTAAATTCACCATCTCCAGATGCTCCCACATTTTAAAAACTGGCTGCTAGTTGATACTTGAGTTCAGAGAATTCTTGGACTTCAGGATCAGAAAGAAAAGACTTACTTGCTATATCTGGGGTGCAGTGAGATGGTTGAAGGGGGGTGGTTACTCCATCCACAAGCTCCCCTCCCCACCCAGCCATCCCCAAAGGCCAGGGCTAGGACAGGCCTTTCTGGGAAAGAAGCTGCCAGTATTGGTTTCACTCCTTGACCAAGAGGCTAGAAGGACTTTGCAATATTGAGGCAATGAATGTGAAACAGAAACAATGGCTTTAGTTTCAGGAAGTCAGAAATGGAAAGCAAGTGTCAACATTCTTTGAGACCCACTCTGGGCCACATTTGTGCTGCTCTAGCCGGAACTGTGTTACTTACTTGAAGTAGGACCTTGGGAAAATACCTCTCCTCTCTAGGCTTCAACTTCCTCATATGTAAAGTGCTTCTGGGATTAGTTAAGACACTTCTGGTCCTGACATGCTGTGGTTCTAGGCATCCCAGTAATCTGTCACCCAGGGGCGGAAGAGCTTGAAGATACTAGGGAGAGATGGGGAGGAGGGGACTAAGACCTTTCCAGTGGGTGTCCCTGTGAGTGTAATGAACCGAAAATGGGGAGAAAGAGAAGGGATTAAGAAAAGCAAGTGGAAAGAGGGAAGAGGGAAGAGGGGAGAGTAAAAGAGAGGGGTAGCAGGAAAGGGAAAGTATGAAAGATAGAGGTGGCCACCACAAACACCTCAGGGCCACAATGACCAGGCTTCTTTGTCAGGGTGGTGGGCGGGGTGCAAATTGTATTTTCCAAAGAGGGCCACAATAATATTGCCACCCCTACCTCTGTGCTCTTTTACAATGAGACCTTGCCATTTCCCTTTGCAAAGGTGGGACCTAGTTCCCCTCCCTTAAAATCTGGGCTGGCCTTATGACTTGCTTGTAATCAACAGAATGTACAAGAAGTTATGCTGGATGACTTCCGAGGCTCAGTCAGAAGCAACTTCCACTTGGGTATCTTGAGACACTTGCTTTGAGGGAAGCCAGTCTGACTACCTGAGACCATCATGCTGGAGAGGCCACACTCAGGCATTCCTGTTGATAATCTCAGCTGAGCCCCACCTTCTGGCCATTTCCCTCAAGGCACCAGACATGTGAATAAAGCCTTAAACTCTCCAGACCAAAGTACTGATCAACCCCATTTGATACCACAGGTAGCAGAAGAATTGCCCGGCTGAGCCCTGTCCAAATTCCTGATGTAGAAGTATCTGCGATACATAGTTGTAAAAAGGCTGTTGTTTTAAGTCACAAGCTTTTGGGGTAGTTTGTTATAAAACAAAAGGTACCGGAACAAGGTGGTATGAAAGGTTTGAAAATATAAGCCCCCTTGCTATGAAAACCCTTTAAAAAGTATAAATAAGACTTTCAAGATTTTGGAGATGTTTGAGATTTCAAAACTAATTTGGATGCCAACTTTTAATTTTCTCTATTAAGGACATTACAACAAAACTACTGTTTTCACTAGGTCACCATATTACATTTTTTAAAAGTATATTTTGTTATGAAAAAGAAAGAAAAGGCAGTATATCCCATCAGAATGACTAAAACGAAAGAGATAAGCAACATCAAATGTTGGCAAAGGTCCGGAACAACCAGAATCCTCATACATTCCTGTTGGGAGTATGAAATGACACAGCCAGCTTTGGAAAATAGCTTGGCAGTATCATCGAAAGCTGAACAGAGGCACATATTCTATTCCATTCCTAAGTATATGCCCAACAAAAGTTTATGTATATTTTTACTGAAAGATCTGTATATAAATGTTCAAAGCAGCACTCTTTCTAATAGTCCCAAACTGGAAATAACCCAAATGCCCATCAACAGCTGAATGAATAAATAAATTGTAGTATATTCACACAAAGGAATACTGTATAATGTATTAAGTTATTGCCAGATTGAATTATTGCAATCGTAATGAATTATTGCCAGAAATCTCATAAATATGATATCAAGAAAAAGAAACCATTCAAAGAGTACATGGTATGTGATTCCATTTATATAAAGTTGAAAAAGCAAGCAAAATGAACCTATGGTGTTAGACGTTAGAATAGTAGTTACCCTTGGGGGTAGTGACTGAAAGAGAATGTGAGGGGCTCCTGGGAGCGTGGTGATGCTCTAACTCTTCACCAGGTGCTAGGTACCTGGGGTCTCTTATCTTGTAAATGGCATCAACTTGTACACTTTTCTGTATGTGTGTTATACTTCAAAAGAAAATGTTAAAAAACAGAAGGCAGGGCATGATCTCAAAGCAAAGGATAGGTTCTTTTTTTTTTTTTTTTTTTAAGGATAGGGTTTTTCTTTTTAAATAAAAAAACTAATTTAGCTTTATGAAAAT